TGTTAAGACTTATTGACACTAGTGATTTGAACTGAGAAAAATTTTCTTAATCGGTTAACCGAATAGAATTATTTCATTCAACCGGTTGTTAACCGATTAAGATTAAGATTAATATCTATACTACCTTCGGAAATTCAGGGTCGTCTAAAGCGGAGCAGAATTACGTGATGTACGACCAATCGAATTATAGAATTTTGATGATCGCCGACGAAACAAGAAAATACAAAAAATAGCAGTCTAAAGCTACCTTGGGTAAGCTAAGTAAAAATGTTGGGAAGGCAATTTTGCTTATATTATAACTATCTAAAGCCTGCTCTAACCATAATTCAAGATAACCATAACCCTAAAATTAATTCGATAAAATATATATTATAAGAATCTACTCTGCTTTAGACGTCCCCTTTATTAATCCCGCCAACCGGTTGTATCGGGTCAACTGATTAAGAATTTTCTCAACTGGTTACCCGAAATTTATTCGGTTCGGGTCGGTTAACCGATTATGGCTCAACCAATTCAAATCACTAATTAACACACTAAACATTTGGATAAGCATTTAACAAAAGTTTAATAATGTTGACATTATCGGTCATTATATGATACAAAAATAGTTTTTATTATATGGATCATACCGAAATTACAAACTTAATCATTCGGCCAATTTTTTTCAGGTGTCCCAGAAATTATGAAAACAGCTGTAACTCTAAGCTCGAACGTCAATTTACGCCTGAAAAATTAGCTATACATACAGACATATCGATAATGTAAAGTCTACTTGGTTACTTTATTATTTTATGTATTGCCTTATAATGAATTTAATAAAATTTCGAAAAATTTTTCAGCTTCCTACTCTTACTTATTCCTTTTTCTTTCATTTTTAAGTTTCTTATTTTATTTATTATAGAGCCAAAAGTTCATTCTTAACATTAATGGCTATGGTTTTATTATAGTATAATCGAACTGTATCAAAGGTAGATCGCTTTTTTGAGAATGAAGCAAAAAGGGTTGTTAATAATCTTATTTATGATTTTTCTTAAATTTAACTTGTAGTCATATAAAAGTTCCTTAAATTTGTTCAATAAAGACACTAATATCATTAGTGCTCGATTTATTGAAAAACTCAAGACTGATTCTGTTATTTATGGTTTATTGAACAACTTATTCGATAAAGATAATTATAGCTCCTATTTTCTAGATTCCATTTGCTAATCTAGTATTTGGAAGAAAAACCGATTTATTGGTAATTATATATGAATTATATATATACAGTATATATATTATAATTTTCAAATATGGCTTATTTGTAGGCATACTTGATTGAATATTGTTAGATATAAGGAATCCTTTAGTTGAAAAAATTAAAGATACTGCAGTAGAGCAGGTAATATTACGAATTATTTTTTTTATCATTTGCTTGTACTTATTTTTTTTTTACCTACTTCATCTTTTTTTCAAAAATTTGAAATAGATAGAGTTTGAAATTAGTTTTATTTTTCATATGTTGAAACTGGCTCCAAACTCTAAACCTAGGTGTCCCAGTTACACTTATAATTTTCTCTCGTACACTTTCTTCTTGAAAGATGAACATATCCACGCAAGTAAATTATTAAAAGGTCCAAAAACATGAAAAAATAAGCACACTATTATCAACAATTGGTCAAGCTTTATGCTTCTAAATTGATTTCTTATGAACGATTCATATTATTGCTAATTTTTTAATTCACTATTTTCATTAGTAAATTGCTGTTTTATGAAACTATTATTAAGTAATTTTCTTTATTAACTAGTTTATTTTTTATATAAGATGAACAGCATTATTTCGTAAAATTAATTTTTCTACTTAATTGACCAGTGCCTTCCTTAGTAATATCAAGAATACTCACGTTAACAATCCGGATCTTGAGAATCTCTTTTTTGATCTATTTCTCAAAATTCTATTAAATATTGTCGTCAGGTTATTTCACCAGCGAATCTGTTTGGCATTCCTACTCCTACATTTTCTACCGCATTAGCTTTCTATGGGTTATAGTATTAAAAAAATTTTTCCTACAAATCTATTTCAAAGTCAGAGAGATTACTTTGGGTATTTATTTGACGTTAAATATTCAGATACCTGGATAAATTTATTGAAAGCGGTAATGTTCATGTCAATTGGACCAGCGAAGATGGTAACATTAGTGCCTCAACGTATCAAGATTAAAATCAAAGATCTAATAATTCTGTAGTTAAAATTTTATTTTATATTTAAGATGATATTCAATTAATTTAAGAGTTATGTTTTTAAATTTTAAGATAATAATTACTGCCAATCGAATTGGTTGACCTTGTTATATATATTAGAGACATTTATTAATAACATTTGATTTTTTTTGATAAAGAGTGTACGTTTAAAAGGGTTATCTGCTTATTTGAAAGTTATATTGTGAAAGGTTTCCATAAAACATTTTATGAGTGTCTAAATTCTAAGATTACTGAATTTTTTCGTGTTATACTATGGTGATGTTATACTAATAACTTTATCGATATGCAGATATAGAAAATATACTAATAACTTTATTGATATACTAGATATAGAAAAAATTTAAATATAGTATATCGAACTACGGTTTTTTTTTAAATTTTATGTTCATATATAGTTTAGATACCTTTTTAATTCACATAAAATTCAATTTACTAAATTATTAAATTTATTACAATATTCATACAGATAAATTGAGTAACAAATAAGTGAAAATAAATAAAATTTTTCAATAGCATTTTACTATGCTGAATTATAAATCAGAAAAATAAAATAATATTTTCTGATTTTAACTTTGAAACCTCCTAATAAAAAAATTTTTAGATATATAGTTATATCTTACACAATATATATGTATTAAAAATATACAAATGGTGAATTAATAAAAATAGTGTAGTTAATTTTTTCTCTTAAATCCAATTCATCAAGGTGGCAATAGAGACGTTATTAAAAACATAAAATTATCTCTTAGGTTTTCGAAATTTGAGAAATAATTCAATTACTGTAGATTTGATTTATATCTACTTCATCTTGAAAATAGAAGGAGTCTTGTAAATAATAAAGCAAAAAATTTCAAAAACTTCCAAGCAAATAATTATCAGTACAATAAAGGCAGAATCCAAGATTCGATGCCTTCTAACCGATACTCTTTGTTTGTTTTTTTTGAAGCCAGGAATGGCTTTTTTTGCCAAACTTCTTGATGGCTCCATCTTCCAATAAAGCCTGGTCTCATCACAATTATAAATGTTTTTAAGAGACCAGGCAGTTAAGATAGTTTGCAATTACTATTTTGTATAATTTAACATCATTGGTTTTCAGACTTAATTCTCATTTAAACGCTTCCGATATCTCTTTGTCGCTATAACTGGGATCGTTAATGTATATTCAAGAATTTTTTTCTAACAAAAATAATTTTCCATTCTTAGTTCTCGTTTAAATGCTTCCAATATCTCTTTGTCGCTATAACTGGGATCATCAATGTATATTCAAATGAACTTAACATAGATGTTTCGTCAAGATTCATTGCCAATTGATTGATTGTCCTATATTTAAGTTCATGGGTTATTTTACCCGAAAAGTGTAAAGGTTTTCAGTCTTAGTTCTCATTTAAACGCTTCCAATATCTCTTCGTCGTTATAACTGGGATTGTCGATGTATATTCAAGGTTTTCAGTCTTAGTTCTCGTTTAAATGCTTCCGATATCTCTTCATCGCTATAACTGGGATCATTGATGTATATTCAAGGATTTTTTTTCTAACAAAAATAATTTTCCATTCTTAGTTCTTGTTTAAATGCCTCAAATATTTCTTCATCACTATAACTGGGATCATCGATGTATATTCAAGAATTTTTTCTAACAAAAATAATTTTCCATTCTTGCTCATAGATTTTTATAGTTGATAAATTATACAAGAACGAAGTGAGAATACTTTCGTGTAAACAAGTCAAATTTATATTGTTTGATTATCACATAACATTGATCATCAATTTTCATTGGTAATCAACGTGTCAATAATAATACCGAATATACCTACAATTTTTGCTGGATTATTCGTTTTATCGCGTTTTTTGAGTCTACTATTGACATAATCTCTTTCGGAAGAAAAATTTCTCTTATACCAATATAAACTTATAACAATCCGGTATAACAGGATTTATATATACAGTAAATCGCATATTTATTAATAATTTATTTGACTAAATGATTGAAACTCAAATTTTATTCATAGCTACTGGTCAAAGTTTGATATAGCGAATTTCACATTCTGCTTCGCTATATCAAAAGACAATTTATATGTTAAACATATTTAGTATGCAAAAAAAAAATTCTTTTATTTTAAAATATTCGCTATGCAAAAATTCGTAATCTCGAGCTTTGACTATATAACTGATAATGTATAAATAACTACATTCACGTGCTGGAGTTTTTATTGTTTCTCTTTATATGTCGTTGATTCGGAGGATTTTTTTATTATAATTATTCCGTTCTAATCTAAGTGGATTCCGAACCTATTATGATTCCCATTCACACTTACATATATCGTTAGCGCTTTTTTTAGGAATGAATATGGTAAAACCAGAAACGCATATGGCTACCATGTAAAATTGACATTCTTTCATTATTTCACGTTTTATAGTATGCAAAATACAAGATTTTTACGATTAAATATTTAAAGTAAAATTCAGAATAAAAAAATTTTACAAACTTTTTTATTACTATAAAAAAAAAAATACACTTCCAAATAACCCAACCAACACAAAGTACAACAACGAAAAATACATATTATAATATAATACAAATCAAAATGCTTACAGTAAGGTATGTTTTAGGAAAAAAGCAACCTGTAAAAAAAAAAAAAAGAAATTAGAGCCAAATTAGTCTATGTAATAACAATCTATTAGTTAATTTTAGTTTCAAGGTTACGGTTACAATTCGAAGTTATTTCCTTCGTTACGAGGGGACTGCATGATTTGATAACCTTGACTAAGCAATAGCATAACTATTATTTGTATAACTAGTATTTGCTATCTGGTTAAAGTTTTGTTTATTAATGTTTTTACTATTACCACCTGATTTTAGCGTACCACCACCACCACCATAAGGAAATACTTGATTTGTTAATCTTGAATGAGCAACATAACTATTATTTATATAATAATCGTTTGTTATTTGATTATTAATATTTCTGTCATTAACACCTAGTTTTGAAGTAGTTTGCAAATCATAATAGTGATTATATAATGAACCATAATCTGGTCTTTGAATTGCTTCTCCTCTAACACTGTGCGCAGATTTTCGTCTCATTCTTTTTAAGGAATTCCTATTATTAGAATTTTGTATTGTATTTGAAGCCTCAAAAGATTTGGAAGAATTGTTAAGAGCCTTTGGTTGTGAATAAATAGTATTTGGCATTGGAGTAATATCATTATTGATTTGTTGTGTATAAAGTACCGTATCAGAATAAGGAATCGGTATGGGTGGCTCAATTATACTACTGTCATGTAAGTTTGGTAATGATCTTGAAAAACTAGATTGTAAAAAAGGTTCATTTGACTGAACAATTGAAGGTTGATCGATTTTATAATTAGTATTTCCCCGGGATGTAGACTGTTGTGAAACCTGATAAGTATCAGAATGATTAGCAATAGGTGGTAAAGGAAGAGGTCGGGGTTGAGGAAAACTATCTGAACGTTTATGACTACGTAAGAATGGTACTTGATCATGTGGTTGTTGCGATTGCCGTGGTTGTTGAGGTTGCCGTGGTTGTTGCGGTTGCCGTAATTGTTGTGGTCTTTGTGGTGGCTGAAAACCTGATATAGATTCAGTTTGATTTAGAATAGGTGGAAACATCATACCATTACCATTTACTGGACGCGTATCTGGTACATAATGAGACGTTAGCTGATAGTTTGCCAATCGTCGGGGAGGTAACATCGAGTTGTGCCGATGAACAATTGGAGGCCTTGAGTTTGAAGAATTATTATATGAAGTCGATGGAAGCGCAGGTGGTAAACCTTGTGAACATTGTTTTTGTGGTATTGGAACACTAGGTTTATGTGTTGGTGTAGTATGTATTTGATCGAACCTCTGAGTATTTTGAGTAATGTTAGAATTGCTGCCATTATTTTCTTGTATCCTTGAATTATTTGGGTTGTGATTATATTCTTGCTTAATTCCATCAGGTATTTGATTATATTCTTGATTAATTCCATCAGGTATTTGATTATATTCTTGCTTAATTCCATCAGATATTTGATTTTCTTGCCTCTGATGTTGTGTTGGTCTACGGATAAATGGAGAAGGAGGGTTTGCCATTAAACTATCCTGATCCATATGTTGCCTTTTTTCTAAGATATCAGTAGACACTATAGATGTAATATCATTTGCTACATGAGATTCTTGAACCTCCATGTCAATATTTTTAGTTTCCTCCCTCCTTTCTGATTCACGCATTATTTTATTTGTTGGTTTCTGTGAAATTCGTTTTGCACAATACCATGTGAGAGAACCAAGAGCAACCTATTAACCCATCATATAAGTTCTTTAAAATATTAATGTTTCAAGATTCATGATCCCCGAAAAAAAAAAAACAAGACAAATTTTTATTTATTTATTTTTTTAAAAGAATCTCATACCAAAATAACTTCTTGCGCTCCAAATACTACGAGGCCTGCTTTTATGTCAAAGTCAACTTTATTTTCGCAGACAGTTCTTTGATTGAGGTCATTGGGATTGGTAATGCAAGAATCAATAGTATTGTATTTCATCGTAAATGAAAGAATTATCTTTACAACATCAATAATCGTCAGAACAACAACAGAGAACCAATGATCACGCGAATAACGGCACATCAAGAATATATTGTTAGAAATAGCACCAAAAACTCCAAATAAACCCGAAGGTGCCACTACTACTTCGATCACAGCATAGCCAATCAAAAATGGTGAACTAAGATGATTTGCGGTAACTGAAAGAATTGAAGAAAAAAGTCATTACTTGTAGATAATCAATGAGACAAAATTGTAATAACTTACTGTTTAATCCTCTGAAAGTAACAGTTGCAATGAATAAGGTATAAAGCTGATCATTAAAATTGAAATAAAAAAAATTGAAAAATTTAGGAATGCAGGTAATGAACCGAAAACTAAATAGTAAAAAAAATAGTAAAAAAATAGTAAAAAAAATCAACATACGAATAACAGGGAGGAAACAAAAAAAATAAAGCAACGAGCTAGAAAACGATACATTGAAGAAGGTGTTGAATTGTTCAAACCAAGCTACTCAACACCTTGGTTTCTCTTAAATAAATAAGTCGCGATATTACCGACTTATTGACGGTGTGCTCGCGAAATTACTCCGACCTAAATCGAGAAGCGTGTTCGTTTTAAACGGACCAGCGTTTCTCAGATTGGCACTGCCAAAACCTTGTCTGCGGGATATTAAAAGTAAAAAAGAGCTAACACCGTACTGAACCGGGTTTGGAAACCTAGGGGGTAAGAAAAAATAACAAAAACGTGAAGGCAGTGATTATATATAGAAATGAAGCTTTAAAAAAGGAAACATGGAATGAAACAAGTTTCACTAAATTTCCCATTATCCTCTGATTCATTCTCCGATATTTAATATACATCTTAATAATTATCGACAATCTTTGTTTTTTCAACAAAATCAGGATTGGCTAAATTAAAGTTCTTCGTGAAACGTTACATTGTTAATATACATTTTAATGGAACAATCTATCCCACAACATATATTAATAGCAGAATTATAATAAAATTAGCTGTGAAATTTATGCCAAAACCTGTTTCCCATGGATTTTCGACAATATAGCGTAACAATTTAAGGCAAAGTATTGTTAATTTTTACCATTTCCTATACATAGACACTACGTAAGCACTACGTAGACCTTTTTTTTTTTATAGAATTTAAGAATTTTTAAAATTTTTAACGTGATAATAAACAAAAATTGAAAATTAACTAATCAAAAAAGTAAATTTGTTTCTATATAGAATATCATGTAAATTCGGGTAAATGCAGATTTTTCTTTATATGTAAAGTTCATTTAATTTTGTTTCCCTACATTTATTCTTACACTTATACTTATAAAGTTGGCGTAGAACGTTTACTCCCACTTATTCCAAGCTTAATAAACAAATCAAATTTTTTTCAAGCACCCATTACCATTACTAAAAACACGACATAAAATAAATACCGTTAGGGTTAGGTCAATAATATGCAAATAATAGATGCCAATAGGTTAGCCTTTGAATCAACATATCCTTTTTTTATTGGATACTAACGCTAATCATGTGCCCGGAACCTAACGGTACTACCGGTAGGAAACTTAGGATTTGAGAAATTCACATCACTACCAGTGAATCACTCTTATTATTATTAATGCTTTTTTATATTTCCGATTTTGGTTTTTTAATCTCCATCGCTATCGCTATCAAGAAACGAAGCGAATCATCTTAATTGATTAGACGCTGAAATTCTATACTAAGCCATCACGTGAATAACTGTCCAAAAACTTTATCGCAGAAGTAAAATCTTTATAATTTGATATCAGATATATGCACTACGTATAAGTTACTAATCATGTTTTCAATTTTGTTTTACAAAGAGTCGTAAGGTTTTAAAGTTCGTATGACGCCAAACATACGTGTAATTAACAATATCAATAATGTTCAAATCATTAGACCTTTTTTATGCAGGAGGTTTTAAAAAGCTTGTTGATAATTCAATATAACATAAGTTCTATAAAGTTATCGATTGTTTTGCATAATTGCATAAATAGGTTTACTGCCTTAAAAATTAAATGATCGTATAAACCTCCTGCTATATTAACATCAATGGATAACATCAATGGATTTTTATAATTGGTTACGTTTTAGGATTTTCCAAATTGCACACATGTTCCTGTCATTTGGTTCTACATAACTGCAATTGTGCTCTCGGAATTTCGTTTTTTTTGCCGATCGTAAGGAGACAAACATTCTGCGACATTTGCATATCAAATGCTGTGAGCCCTGAATTTTTGTTTTTTTAACCAGTCTTATACTGTACAAACACAAAATCAATTAATTATGTAATGTTGATTATCATTTTAAGATGTACGTATTTACATACATACCATTATTTTTAATCCTTAATAAGGAAATATAATATTAACTTGCTTAAAGTTTGATTAGATATATTAATGCAATTTATGAAATTTAACACTACGTAAAATTACATTAATTAACTACATTAAAATAATTTAACCAATCAATATTAATGTTTACATGTCAACATTTATATTATTAATTACCGTTAAATAATACGCAAAAGAAAATAATATTAAACTGATATTTATTTATGTGAATAAATTTTTTAATCAGAATGAACTGATCGATATCAAATATTTTATATACAAATTTGTATTAGAGTATATAAAAATAAAAATTGCTTAAAAAATTAATTATTTTTGATGTTCTTTTCTGAATGTCGATTAGCGTATTCAGATCCATTAATATTCACGAAATATTCACGAAAAAATGTACTAGTGTCAATAAACAATGTATTTTTTTTTAAAAAAAAAATGCAACAGTAAACAGAATTTGAATTGTCTATTCCATATATTGAAAAATTAGATTCCATAAAACAATATTTATTATTTAGAAATGCTCGTTACAATGATATCTAATATTGAATTATGTATCTACTAGAATTCTTGTTTTCGGCAGATTTCAAATACTTTTCGAATACCTTATTTCATTTTAGAACACTTACTAGAATAAAAATTAGGGTTAGATGGATTTCATTAAATACAGTATTCGACAATGTTTGATCAAATAATAAACCCGAAAATACAATTCACTTAATAGTTACTAGGCAAGTTCCTCAAATTGACAGAAACAAACATTTAGAACCAACGTTTATCTAATAATAATATGAAGAATACAAACACTTACAGCCCACTTTAAGATTGTTTCAAAAAAAAATAGATAAACCCATTCATCTCGGTGAAGTCCCTAGGAATTGTTGCACTATCCACTTCTTTGATATAATAGGTGCCTGTTTATTATAATATAAACTTTTTTGTTTTTAAATACGCACAACTCGATATATACATGAGTAGCCGAGAACGTACATATGCAAGCTCCACTTAAAACTATAGACGCCAAAGATCCCCATTTCAGGAATGATAACCCTGCAGTTAGTCACTCTATCCTTCACTATTTCTATCATTAGTTTTTTTAGGCTCTTTGCATTTTTGCACAGATTTTGGGTTTCTCTCTTTGCTTTAACTTTATACGAACGTGTACTTCTACTGTACATACACGATTTGATATTTATCGGACCCACTAGTAAATCCAACACCGTCTCCCTTTTGACGTTCAACATAACTGGCCGGTAGGATTTCCCCACTATCCGCAAGCAACAAAATATAGGTTATCATGTTTTTATAAAAGGCATTATTTTTCATAATGCCATAATAATTATAAAAAAAAAAACTCAACCAAGTATAATATACTTCCGCGCAGTGCCACAAGGCCACTTTAATGCACGGGTATACATAGTCGTTAAGGTAGGGTTGTTCCAAGGTCTCCATACCGTGTAACGGGTTCATGTGACCCATAGAAAATGCTTGCAAACTAAAATGTACATAAAAATATTTCTGTAACTTATAGCGCTATCTGTTATGACATACTAATTAATAAAAATTCAATATACATACAAATTGTCCAGAGTTCTGAATATTAATTTGATTGTCAATTTGGTAGTTGTTTCTTCATAGTTATCGCATTTAATTTATCTATCGCATCATTGTTGATACGTTAAATTCTTATTGTAAAAAAGATAATACATATTAGAAGATAAAAAAAAAAAAAATCTAAAATGCTATTGAAATTAATCTATTAGTATATCTTTATACGTACTTGCGAAAAAAATCTACCAGAAAATTATGCGTTTCCTCTGGAATTACACAGGTTGAATCGTTAGTCTGCCATAGATCCGCCAAATACCTGCTGAATATCAGCAGCACATTTGTAAGTTATCAGGAGGCAGATCGATATCGGTAACATAACAGGGATACCATGATAACTTACTCTTAGCACTCTGGGCCTAAAAGTAAGATATCGGGGTATCCCAATATTTTGCTGTTACTGATATCGGAAGTGGATAAATGTATCATTATAGGATACCAAAATGTTATCATCTGATGATTTTCGTGGGAACTTTCCGATGGACTTTCGTGGGAACCTTCATTATCGTTGCTGTACGTTGCTCTTAAATAATCGTTAATTCAAAATTAACGTACCTGAGTTTAAAATTTATACCGATTAAAATGTAACATATGTAGTTTAAAAATTATACTGATTAATATGTAACGTACGTACAGTACGTGCACTCCCCTGACAAAAGTCACCGGCTTTTTAATAATCAACCATTTTATTGATGATCATAGCTACATATAAAACTTTA